TGTTTACCGTGTCCGAGTTGATGGATTTAATTCTTACATTGTCTATCCGAATTTTTCGCCCTATACATACGTTGTTGCCTGGCAAGTTATCTAACTTATATCTCGACGTGCAACGTGGTCGTCTAAATGTTTGTATTGATTTTGCACGTTTCAGTGTGATTGTTGGGCTAAATTATGACAGAACATTTATGATTTCTCTTTGCCAGATTTATGATTTTATTATTATTACTCCATGACTTTTGTCTTCAATTCACTGTTGAGGCCTGATTGTCAGTTTGCAAAGAATTCATTTCAAACTGGTTCTAGGGGCCGCCTCAAAATTGCATTGAGGTTGGAGATTTTTGCTCCGTGTTGAAGGCTTCATCGTGACTTTGAGATGAAAAATAGGACTTAAAGCGCTCTGCTTTGCATTATGTGTATTATTTGCTGTACACATGTAGAAAGTTAAATCACAAAAATACTGAACTCCGAGGAAAATTCAAAACGGAAAGTCCCTAATCAAATGGCAAAATCAAAAGCACTCGGAAGTGCGATGGGGACGCTGAAGTGCAATGGCCACGCTGAAGTGCGATGATCTGCTCTGAAGTGCGATGGTCCCTTCGCTGAAGTGCGATGGTCTATATGACCTTATATTAGTTACAGTTTCATACTAAATGAGAGATTGTCCTCAATAGTTTTGCTGCTTGTGAAAATAATTCTGCGTTTATGGTTTATCTTTACTTACTTCCTCTCGTGAGTTCCAAGTTTGCCGTGGTATTATAAGGTGGAGAGTATGTTTGTGGATCCATGTGTATTAATTAAGTGAATACCACGCCCCATTGTACGTAATAAAAAAACTGGAATTCTGTTGATTTTGAAAAATGAAAGGATCCGCAACGGAAAGCTAAATTTCCCGTCTCTACTTATCACTCCCTTTTTCTGCTAGTATGAAAATTATATAAGCTCCTTACTTACTTATTTCATGTTGAATATGCATTAAATATTTGCGATGGAGCTTTGAACTTCGAATAGATTTGTTGCTTATGTTGTTTCGTTCTGTGTTTCTATTTAAACACCTACCACGTTTCTTAGTTATTGAAATTAGTACTTGTTTTATTGAAAAAAATAACCTTTGCATGCAGCGATTATCGTGGTCAATTTCTTGACGATTGTAAGAACATTGGCTTATTTTTGTCCGATTCATCATCACTGTTTTAGATTAAACGGATTATAATTTCGATGTTTTACTTTAAAATCCGGACTAAAACCTGTTTAACAAACAAATTGACTACTACATCGACATGCCAGTGAAAATTAAAAAAAAAATTCAAAAATATAGTTTATGTAGTCTATCGCACTTCAGAGTTACCACCATCGTACTTCTGCGTAGCTATCAACATAATAGCCTCACAATGCCACCATCACACATCGGCGTGATGAAAAACGCACTTCAGCGTTAATCTAACGCACATCAGCGTGGCCATCGCGGTTCAGAATCTTACACATATACTGATTTTGTGCCATGGATGGATACATTTTAATCTTTCGTTTTTTTATCAAAGGACACAAAATCTCATTGTAATAAATGTCGTTTCTTTTAAACAAAACCCTGGGATTTTTCTCACTTAGTCAGTTTATTTTAGACAAATGTGTCTATAAATTTTAAACAGTTTTTTTTACACTGTTTACCGCCATCTATTGCTCGAGTTTCTATTAATAGTTAGCCCTGATGGAATTCTGTGCAGAAATCGTTTCAAAACATATAGATTCTCCTAGATTGTGATATATGTTAGTTTGTTTGTGGTTAACGGTTATGCGTCATATTCTATAGCTACTTTTAAAAAATGATTTTATCCTTATTTAAACACTGTTGAACAAAAATAAGGAATTGAACATGGGAAATTCAACTTTTTTTACTGTATATTTTAAATTGGCGATTCAGTGAATAAAGATCCAAGCAAAATATATATGTTTTTAATATTCAGAAAATCTACGACTTCCTTTGGTAAGTTAAACTCTATACAATTCATTTCGTATGAATGCCTTATGGAACTGTTTCAAACAAAGTCCTTTCTATTATCATTACATAAGTTTCCTTGTTTTGTAGTTTCCATTGCTTTGGAGGCACAGACTGGAGTCAAGTAGATGTTAATAAAGTGTTTACTGATAATGTAGTAATTTCAAATCCCGATAGACTTCCCTTTAATGGTTATGATATTCCAGAGATATCTTACAGTGACGAGGGGTTTTACGATGTGACAGTTGGGCCTGTTATATGTAAATCAGGTAAAATATGAGGTTCAAAGCATTCTCATATGTCAAAATGTTTCAGATGAAAGAAGAATTATAAACCATTATTATCGTGTCTGAGTTTGCGAAAAAATCACGATACTATTGATGTTTAATTCCTATTTTCTTATATTTAAGACTGTGACGAAATTTAATTGATAAATCCCTTGTTATCTTCTACTTTAAATCATATGAAGTATCAAATAGACTTGGATCGCTTTTTGTGTTATCTGGTCCGTACATCAATTTTAAGTTTGTACTTCATACCTATTCATTAATGCATCTAATTTGATTTTTAACTTAAATTTCTTTTTTTTTTAAATTCTTATGATGTCATCTTAGTTTACAATTCCCTCGATTTTGTTAGATACCTTGATTTGTCTTCTTAATAAATGTATGATATTTGAACATCGGTTATCTACTGTTTATATTTATTTGTCAGAAATATCGAAAAACGTTTCCAGTAGCCAGTCCCGTTGTTCTAATGGACAGTTGTATAACTATACAGATCATTGCATTATGCATGTAAATGAAAGAAGTGATATAAATGGTTGTAGAGATATGACTCATCTTCAGAACTGTGGTAAGATAGACAAATTGTATTATAGATGGACATATTTAAACATGTGGAGCAGGCTTTTGTGGAAAGCTAGACAAATTGTATTATAAAAGGACATATTCAAACATGTGGAGCAGAATTTTGTATCCTCAACCTCTCTTCTTCAAACGGTTTGGAAAAGGGACGCGTGTATTGTTCAGAATCTACGATTGAAGTTCCCTCATAAAGCAACCATTGTGTTATTAAAATATTTTACAGAGTTAAATGTCATTTTCTTAAATCTGCAGTATTTTGATATGGTATTTACAATGTTTACACTGGAGGTTATCAAAAAGAATGTTGAAAACATTCTTACTTGGGTTAGATTTTAACAAGCAATTGATTGAATTAACCGAATTGATCATTAAAAACATTATTGTTCTCTATAAATCGGTATGGTTTCATAGGGGGAAATGGATTCGATTTGAACTGTTCGAAGGACTTTAGTGGAATTTGGTTTGACTTAACATGCTTGTCAATACAATAAAGTCATTCATGTCAATGGAGCTATAACTAGGTTGTTATACTATATATAAAACATTTTGCGCAGCTTGTTAATGGTTTGGCACTGAAGTTGTACATATGACCTACTTACTACTTTTGATAGTAAATGTTATAATTACTTTTTCTCATCATTCCTTTTTGGTGTTGAAAATATCGATTAACCCTTTACCGCCTTCAAACTATTTCTAAATTAAACAGATTATAGCGGATATGTTCCTTGTCGTAACTACAATCCAATCCCCTTTTCCCGAATGTGACCTATGTAGACTTATTACAAGATTTGTACTGACGTGAGCAACACAACGGGTGCCACATGTGGAGCAGGATCTGTTTACCCTTCTGGAGCACCTAAGATCACCCCCTGTTTTTGGTGGGGTTCGTATTGCTAAGTTTTTAGTTTTCTATGTTGCGTTTTGTGTACTTTTGTTTGTACGTTGGGTTTTCTTCTTTTATAGCCATGGCGTTGTCAGTTTGTTTTCGACTTATGAATTTGAATGACCCTTCGGAATCCTTCCGTTTTTCTTGCGAAGGCAAAAATATCATATTTTGGGCTATTTATCAGGCCAAATATAACAAATGGGTTAGAAACTGCAAGCAATCTATATGCATTATTGCAATAAGATTCTTTTATGCTTTGATTTAAGCCACTATAGTCCTTTGTAACATCAATATTAAGAAAACAACAATATCTCAAACTTTGTAAAAAAAACTTTGGACTTAGTTTTTTTTTTGCTATGTGTCAAGGGCATCTTTGAATAATCTGGTATGTTAAGACATTGATATCTTGAAATGGAAAGCAGGCAGAGATCTGGTTGTTTGCAGTTATATATAGACCTAAACAGTCAACAGAAATATATTAACAGTTGTATTGCTAACATATCTGAATTTTTTTTTTTGCCGACTCAAAATCATGGCGGCAGGCCCCCCTTTTTTAGGTAGGTTTTTTGGGGAAAAAAATACATTTTTGGTCAGACAATGCTGGAAAAAAATCCCTAATTTTTTCTAGTACTTGTTTTGTATTGGTATTTAGTTGTTTCACAAATAAAATAGGCTCTGTAAGCTAATAAAAAAAATTTGAATTAGAAAATCAGCATTTGGACGTATATTTTTGAGCTATTTTTTACGCCAAAAAAACACTAAAATTTACACAAAAACTTAATTTCATAATTTGACAGTAATTTTTCATAGAGGTTAGTGACTGTTACTGTGACTTTACATGTTAAATCACCTTTTTGTCATATATTAATAGAATTTAATGCAATACAAATTTAAAAAATGGTCAAAAATAAGAAATGTTTTGACAATTTTGAAAATCGCAGATTTTTTCAAATATTTGCGCAGTTATGCAAACATTTAACGCGCAGTGATATTAAGGCAATTTCGATTAGATTTGGTCAGGGGCAGATAACCCCGCAGGTACCTCATTATGTATTCATATATTCATTAATGGCGGAGAGTACCTAAGCTGCGTCTATCGATAAAACTGTATGAAATCAAATTACATACATGCCTGTTATTTAAAAACAGGTATCCATATGGTGTAATTTGTTTACTGAAACACGAATATTCTATGTTTGTGCTTTAATTATTATGGTAAACTGTTGCAATAACTGTTTTTTGTGCCGAAATTGTCGGCTTGTGGACACCGCCTCCTTTTGATGATCAACCAATCAGTAGACGATCGTCGTCGAACAGATGTTTGTAGTTTGCAGAATGGAAAGCACCTTGCAGCGGAAATTATTTTCACTTCTACGTGAAAATCTAGCCAGAAAAGTAAGTGTAAGCCACCAAATATGTAAAATTTATGAAACATACGTTGCTTGTTTTGTTAAGCATTCGCTTCAGAAGGCGAAAAACGGCACAGTATTAGCTCAAACGAGTTCAGTGTTGGCAAGCATGTTATACACGTGGTCAAAACGAAACTAGACTGCAAAAAAATATCTGAAATTTGAATAATGTATCGAGTCCCGTCAGTAAATGAACAGAATATCGAATGAAACAAGTTCCCTGCATTATACCAAGAGCCCATTCTCAACATTTACCCTGAAATTCATTTCTAATTTACGTTTTGCAGGTATCCTGGTTGGGTACATCTGTAAAGTTTGCTCCACCGTTGACTTCCGTCCGGAGCCCACGTTGCTGGAGCCATGATCCCTTCCTCCAAATCATGGAGCCCTTAATTTGAAGCTTAGGGCACAAAAACTTGCTCAAAGGAACCCTGAACACGTAATTTGGAGATCGGTCACATATGGTGTAACCCCCCCCCCCCCCCCCCCAAACCAACCTAACCAATTCAAATGTCAAGTCCATAGTATAATTTTTTCTGCCGAGTGCTGACGGTATATTACAACTTTGAATTTTATAGATCCCTACTTGGAAGTTTACAGCGTTTATATACTTGTTGGTTATAAAATACATGTACATGAGAACAATTTTGAACATGATAGTCCAATTTGGCAAATAATATTATTTTTCTTGAAAGGCTTTGTTAATGATTTACTGTGACACTTCCTATGACCGTCATTCTAAGGAAGGAATCCCAGCAAAAAATTAGGGAAGCCTCTCATGACACAATAATAATAGACTTTTTAATATCATGACTGCCCACGTTGACACATTGACTTTTTAGATATGGTTATCATCAGTATTAAAATGAAAAAGAGCACTGCTTGCATGCTGATGATGTCTTGCGTCACAGTACCCAAATTGCACCTATTTAGCAAATTAGCAAATCTTACAAGTTTTCTAAGAGTAAACAATTTGTATTTTTTTTAAATTATTTGACATTATGCACATTTTTCTAATACATGTAGGTAAATATATTTAAATATTCACAAAACGTTTACAGTATATATCAACAGATGAATTATTCACTGGAAAAGTAAAATCTACGTAAACATCAGCATGCGACTTCCACAAAAAGTCATCTTTTAAAAATGAGCAAATAGAATATATTACGCCGTACGAGTATTAATTTCTTAAAAATTGAATAGCAAGCATGGACTTAAATGTCAAATTGTTCTAAATATTTTAAGAAATAAAACAAAACATCTGTTATTCGAATTTCAAGGATAGGAATTAAAGCATGAATGCATTTTGGGTACTCCTCATTACAGAATCATGGATTGTTTGGAGGTCGGTTTTACATGTTTTAACCCATTTTTTTATGATTCAATATGGATTCAAAATTAAATTGGTGGAACTTAATAGCAAATAAGGATACATCTACAAAATAAACACAGAATGGAAACTTTTGTCTGGATCTTAAATGTATGTGAAAAAACTGTCAAAATAGGTGCAATTTGGGTACCCTCGGCTCACGTTACATGTACATGTATATACAGTTACAACAGACATTGACAAGGCAGTAAATTATTGTACTATAAATTCAGAAGAATGGCGATTAATCCGATGAGTATCGCAATTATAATTAACCTCACATTTTTATACGCTCGTTTACGGGACATATTATGGTATACCTCTGTCCGTCAGTCGTTAACATGTCGGACATTAACTCAAAAACGCTATAACCAATTTGCATAAAACTTTGGTGAATTGTTTATATCTATTGATGTGAGCTCCCTTTCCTTTTTATAAATTTTAGATTTTATGTTTCCCAGTTATGGGGTTAAATATTCATTAAAAAAAGGGGGATTTTCCTGTTTTTCGGACAATAACTCAAGAATGCTTTCACCAACTTGCAAGAAATTTTGGTTAATAGTTTATATCTATTGACATGAGCTCCCTTTTGATTTTTATATTAGATTTTACGTTTCCAAGTTACGGGGTTTTATTCATAAAAAAAAAAGGGGGGGGGGGGATTTTCCAGTTTTCAGACAATAACTCAAAAATGCTTTCAGCAGTTTTCATGAAACTTTGATGAATTGTTGATATCTATTGATGTAAGCTCCTTTTAGAATTTTATAAATTTTAGATTTTACATTTCCGAGTTATGGGGTTTTATTCATTAAAAAAAGGGGGATTTTCCTGTTTTTCGGACAATAACTCAAGAATGCTTTCACCAACTTGCAAGAAATTTTGGTTAATTGTTTATATCTATTGACATGAGCTCCCTTTTGATTTTTATATTAGATTTTACGTTTCCAAGTTACGGGGTTTTATTCATAAAAAAAAAGGGGGGGGGGATTTTCCAGTTTTCAGACAATAACTCAAAAATGCTTTCAGCAGTTTTCATGAAACTTTGATGAATTGTTGATATCTATTGATGTAAGCTCCTTTTAGAATTTTATAAATTTTAGATTTTACATTTCCGAGTTATGGGGTTTTATTCATTAAAAAAGGGGGGATTTTCCAGTTTTCAGACAATAACTCAAAAATGCTTTCAGCAATTCTTATAAAACTTTGGTGAAATGTTTATATCTATTGATGTAAGCTCCCTTTGGAATTTTATAAATTTTATTTGTTTATAGTCTAACAACAGATTTACTAAGTATTGCGCAACAGCATAGTGTATTGCACAACAGCAAGAAATCTTTAATTGAATATAAATTCAATTCATATAACCAATTTCAAGTTCTTTGACTACATTTATTCAGAAACCTATAATATGTCAAATATTTAATTACATTCCAAATTCAGACCTGTATCAAGCTTGAATATTGTGTCCATTTTTGCCCCAACTGTTCAGGGTTTATTGTCCCTCCTTTCAAAAATCACAATAATATTAAATTCACACAATGATTTAGAAATTTTCAAAATAAAGCCTGCAGTCATTATACGCCTGTCTTTAATGGGGCATCTAAGCTACGAGATATAAAAAAAAAATTAAAATATGATTATTTTTTTTTCAATATTTAATGAAAGTGCAATAGTGAAATAATAATTCACATTTAGCACCCAGTTTGGTTCAATTTTGTCGAAATAAGCTAAGAAACATCGCTGGTGAATCATTCAGTCAATAACTCCAAAACGCTTTCACCAATTTTCATGAAACTTTGGTGAATTGTTTATATTTATTGACAAAAGTTTCCTTTCCATTTTTTTTAATTCTTGATTACTCGCTTTTGAGTATTGGGACTTTATTCATAAAAAATGGTCGGTTTTTTTCTCCAGTTTTCTGACAATGACTCAAAAATGCTTTAACAAGTTTTCATGAAACTTTGGTGAAATGTAACATAAGCTCCCATACAATTTTTATATATTTAAGATTTTACTTTTTCGAGTTATGGGATTTTATTTTTAAAAATTATTCATGATTTGTGCCTGTGTGTGCTGGTGTGTACATGTTTTTTGTGTGCGTTTTTTTTTTTTGGGGGGGGGGGGGGGGCTATTTTTAGCAGTATTTCTAGTTAATCATAAAGATTAATTTAAGGCATAAAGATGAGCTAAAGGACAACAGGCATATCATGTGCTCATGGCGCAGCTCTTTATTTTAAATATGATGAAGCAATTCTTCTAGAAATCAAAGAAAAAATGGGCATTATTTCTATGAAGGAAATGCAGATATCAATTCGGGGTTGGGTGGCAGACGTAATTTCTTTATCATGTTTATTTGATATGTTATATTTATTTATGTATCGTGTATGATTCATTGTAATTAATCTGCTCCTTATTTTAAAAAAAGTATCTTTATTTGTATTAAAAAAATTACTTTCTCTTATTTTTAGCTGACCTGTCAAATATAAGAAACAGAGTGCTATTCCAGCTTTGATGAACTATAAAGTAATGGTTTGAATTTGAAAAGCTTTATTTATATTAGACAGGTAAATTGTTGTATTTTTCTTTTTGCTCGCTATTAAAACTGGTTATCCCTTGTTTTTGTATATCAAATCAATCTGCACCAAAATCTTTTCCTGCTACTAGTTAGAAGACCAAATCTATTAATATAAAGATAAGAAGATGTGATATGACTGCAATGAGAAAACTATCCAACAGAGACCAAATGATGTAGATGAAAGCATCTATATATAGGTTGCTTTGCTGTCTTCAACAACAGTGGTGTCTCAGTAAGAACATAAGAACAAACTGTAAAAGTTATTGAAATAGGCTTGACAAATAAGTTGTCAGTCATCATCATCAACACATACATGTTGCACAAAAAAAAGGCACAAAGTACTTGCAGTTACTGAAAGCTAGTTAAACGCTAATTACAGCTTATAGAAAGGGCAAGTTTCTAAGACAAAAAGAATCAGTACACGTTAACACTATACAAATGCAGGTGTTCAGATAATCTGACTGAAGCGATAAAGCTATATTATATATAGTAATATATATATATATTCTACTGGTATCCTGCTTCTGTTGCTTGGAGTTGGAAACATGTCATCAAATTACTAAAAAAATCTATTTTACAGCTCAATTTTGTGTCCTCTTTACAGTCCGCAAATGTTATGAACAAAATGACGAATAGGAGAAAAGCTATGCAAGCCTTGCTTTTCTTCCTCTTTTATAATTTGTGCAAATAAATTTCTGTTGTCGTACAATGTAAGAATATTGTATGGTGTAAATTCAGAAATTATTGCAATGTTTTTTTAAGGCAACTTTGTGAGTATTGCAATAATAAGAAGTCACATTCTGATATCCAATACATATAACTGTAACTGTATTTTTCTGAAATCACAATAATTAATCTCGCATTTTGTCCATTCTTCAAAAATTGTAATAATAAATGCACACAATAATTTCTGAATTTAATAACGTACATTTATATTTACCAGCAATAAACTTTATTAGGGCCCCGCCGAATGGCTGGTCGCCCTATAGTAATCAGTCTGTCCGTCCGTCCATCTGTAACAAATTGTGTCCGCTCTATATCTAGAGAACTTCTAGAGAACCGTTATGATTTCATTCTTTATACTTGACATGTATATTAACCAACACCAGAGGGTGTGTCATAATGTTTGTACAACATCCTAGGTCAAAGGTCAAGGTAAAAAACTTTGGTTTCAGATGACAACCACATGTCCTATGGTAAAGATACAAATTTTTTACCACACGTTATTCACAGCGGGGCCCACAGAGATAGCTCCCATCTCAATGATGTCTAGTTTACACATATGTTATTAAAAAATGTACTAAGCTTGATTGCTAAAAGTTCTTAGCTGTGGTTTTAGTGCATTACTAATATTGATATTGCAGTATAGCACCCTGCCTTATTCATGTCATAATTTACATTTGGGAAAGGAGATACAAAACAATGTAGTTAAACATAATATGGGCATTATATTTTTGGGTCTGTGCATCCGTTCTTTCGTCCGTCAGTCTGTCACGCTTCATATTTAAGTTTTTGGTTAAAGTTTTTGGTCAAGGTAGTTTATGCTGAAGTTGAAGTCCAATCAACTTGAAACTGACAGTACACATGTTCCCTATGATATGATCTTTCTTATTTGAATGCCAAATTAAAGTTTTGACCCCAATTTCACGAACATAGAAAATAATAGTGCGAGTGGGGCATACTTGTACTATGGACACATTCTTGTTTAAATTATTACATAATACATCTTATAGGCTGCCTATAAGATGTATTATGTGTTAAATTTTAAAATTAAATAAAAGTTGTGCACCTTATTAAAATGTGTATGACTAATGAGGAAATTAAATTCTTGTTCAAATGTTGAATGAACTTGAATGAAGACATTATTAAATTTAGGACATGTAGGACAGGGGAATTATTTTGTTAGCATTTTCACAGTAACTTGTTGAAGTTGAACTTTTGATCACTTTTCGCATGTTAAAAATTTCATTTAATATAATTATTATATATATGCATTTTCATATTTCAGGGATGATGACCTGCAGTGAGACAGCGGTAGAAAGTTACATATAACTCATCATGACCATTATGGAAGATCAGATCAGATGAAAATTATGTTTAGAAAGCCACCAAATATGTCTATGAAAAGTAGAAAAAAGACAGCAATTCTATGTAAAGTACTTAGCAGAAGCATTGGCTGTTTCAATACCAATGTCAGAGTTGGAATTTAGTGTTTTGATGCTGAGAGATAGAGGAACATTAACTGGACAATTTAGCTTCTTTTTCGTGTGTCATTGAAGTTGATGTATACCATCTTAAAAAGCTTTTACCACAGTTAAAATGAATTCTAAATACAGGCAGTCTGAAGATTTGTGAATTTTCTAACAATTGGAGTTTCAAAATGGATTTCATTTAAAAAAATTATTTATTTCACGGATGAAATTTGTCGTCTCTTTCATGAAACATTTGATAAATCAGTAATATATTTTTAGCAATACCTAACCAAATGAGAGATCTACAGATAGACATATGAATTTCAGTTGAATTGTGAAGAAGGAAATATTCATTTATAAGACTAATATATATAAGTGTTTTGTTATTTTTATGGCAATTACGGGAAAGATGAAGCAATTCGATTTAAACATGACTCATACTTACAGATATACATGAGATATAGGCATACAATTTACTGATGAACCACTAATGGATATACATGTAATTATAAAACTAAGAAGATGTGGTACGATTGCCAATGAAACAACTCTCCACCAGATAACAAATAGTCATATTTTATAACGACTTACATTTCGATTTCATTTCATAACACACCATACAGGTATACAAAAAGTTCAAACGCACAGAAAAAGTGTTTTTATTGCAATTGTTGTTGTTCATCTTATAGTCACATTGAGGTGGGCCTTCAATACTGAGCAAGACCACTGGAACATCCACAGAATGTTTGAAAAAAGAAATCTGGAAATTTTCTTTGCTTGTATATATATCATGTAGCTGCCATTATGTACATGTACATACATGTATCTAGTTTTGTCTATATACTTGGAAATCAGAAAATTTTGCAATGTTTTCATTTCTTGTCTAAATTGAAATTGGTTATACATTTTGCAAAAAAATCATGTAAATTTATTTAAATGATGGTATTATTTGTATCCAGCATTTTCTGAAACTGCAATAATTAATCTCGCATTTTTTGTTCTGGCATTGTTCAATAATTATAATTATCATGATTATCTTGATAATAAATTTATGCAAAAGTTTCTGATTTTACAATAGTTATCAGGTTATATCTTTTTGAAGGATACCTAACTTGGAAACTTGTGAAGGAATATTTTCATAGTATTAGAGATTCTTATGTTTAGTCTGTTTAGCAAAATATGTTGGGTATACATGTATGGCCATTAGACAGCATCCCCAACACTGACAGAAATTGTTTTTTTCTAACTTTGAAATTGCGTACATGTTTGGTAATACAGCTAGAATTTAATATAAAATAAGAAGATGTGGTATAATTGCCAATGAAGTTTTGATTAACAATTACATGAATTAAGTCATTTTACTTTTTGTGATTGGGTCAGGTTAAGATTACCCACTGATTGTACCCTTGTCAATGATATTTGTAGGCAGTACTAGTATGTAGTTTTATTAGCATTTACATATTTTCATTTCCATGCTGACTATTTTTCCCTGTCACCTATGTCATGATTCATTCACTTGAAACTTTTGGATTGTTTACATGTATATGTAAAAATTGTGATTCGGTCAGTCATTTCTGTATATTTATATTTTATTATATATATGTATACCGGTACATAGAATTTATTAATCCCCTACCGCACTCTGTTGTCCATCCGTCAGTCCGGCAAATCAGTTTTCCACACTTTTTTTCTTCGTGCTTTCTGATATTGATTTGATATTTGGTATATTGTTTTATCATGACAAGTTACAGATCAAGTTCAAATTTTGTTCCAGTCTGATAATTTTGTGCAGAGTTATGGTCCTTGAACTTAGAAAATTCACTCAAATATTCAGTTTTCCGCACTTTTTTTCGTCATGCTTGAAGATATTGATTTAATATTTGTTATATAGTTTACACCATGACAAGTTATAGATCAGGTTAGCATTTTGTTCCAGTACAATTAATTTTTAACCGGTAGGGGACTTGTGTATTGCTATGTATTGCCATGCAATACTCTTGGAATGCTTGTTTTATTTTGACTGAAAAAAAATTTAATTACCATAGCTACCAATCAGTTGCTTCCAATTTCAGCAGGTCTTGGGAATATGTTTTCTGATTTTAACATGTTTAACGATGAACCTTAAAATTATATGGCACTTTATCATGTAAAAACAATTGATTGCTTGTGTTGGATGTCAGTTTAAGCACTTCTGGCTATTTCTTCGGTGGCTGTCCATTTTTATTGTTGGCACTCGGGTAGGGAGAAACTTAACATGTAATGAGCGGCTGAATAAAATAGATCACTCAGCTTCATGGTATACTATAATGTTGAGAATTTAAGATGATATATATGACAAGGTTGCTGATTGAAGCATAGGTACATGTATCTGAAACTAATCCAATCTGGGTTTTTTTTCACAGATGAGATTAAAATTAGTCGTAAATGCATTCGATATTTGTCAAATCTGTTAATCGCTCCATGATATAGTGCAAGCATAAAGCATGAGAGATAAAGGTATATTTTTAAGGATGGGTTACTAGATGTCTCTGCTGCTAATCCTTACCCCAAAAAGGTAGTAAGTGTTGATATTAAAAGTTACTCATTCTAGGAAAAGGGAATTGTATCCCCCATGTTAATGCTGTTGTGTGCTTTTGAATATTCCAAACAAAAATAAGTAAGGAGGGCAGAATGATTTTACCAAGTAAAAATGTTGAAATAAGAAAAATATTGCTTCAGATGGGATGAAAAGGAATCTTCTGTCCAACAAAATGCAGAAAATCATTAGGGACAAAATCAAAAAGTGCAAGCTGTACATATTACTGGCTTAGTAACTGCATGGTAGAAATGAATATTCAGAGTCAAAAAATCACAAGAAATTCAAAAAGACCTCCCAATCATGATTTACAAATTGATACCAGTTCTCACTTGAGACATTCAACAAGTAAAATCTGAATATTTATATGCAGGTAGGAAGTTTATATTTATAATTTATTTACACCTTATCAATGACGAAGAGCAAACAAATAATACAAGTGAATTCGTGAATTTTGGTGAGTTCTTTGTGAAAATGCAACTTTTTTTTAATAATATGTTAATTATATAATGATTTACAATATATACTAATTTGATGTACTAGGAGAGACCTTAAGTATGCTTTTAATTTGTATAAAGAACTTGCATTTGCAAAATGAGAACTACACTAGGACCCCTGACCAGATGTGGATTCCGGATTTTGAAAAAAAGTGGGGACTCCGGGTCCCCCAACACTAAGCGACGTTTGGAGTGGGACATGTAAAAAGTGTATGCATTAACCATATAATGGTTGATCCACAAGGGGGCCCGAGCCCACCTGAATCCGCCTCTGCCATTTGCGATGATACACCAGAGGTTCGAACATGAAAATACTTGGCAATTAATACATTGGTATACAAAATTTGTGGAACACATACAGTGTAGGAGGGGTAGTGCTAGGATATTTATCTTATTATTTTGTTCGCCAACCAGTTCTCGGGTAATTTTTATCTCTGTTATCTAGCTTGTACGACCTCGTATATATATTTGAATCTTCCAAGAAAACATGAAAACTTGGGCATATCTTCAAATATTTTATTTTTATAGAAATTAATTGCAAATTATAAAAAAAAAAGTGAATGTTTCATCGATGGTAATAATAAAATTTTATACTCCCAACTTCCCCGTTTCCGGGTTGTTGGCCCGTCTTATTCCGTCTTTGCTTTTCTCCGTCTTTTGTGCGTTTATATTTTATCTCGGAAACTAAAAACAATCAACAACTATTTTTTATACGAAAAGTGCAGGTTGAAGATCAATGAGTACCTCTTAATTTCAGACATGTATAGATTCAGCAGATGTTGCAGTTTATAAAAAGTGCTGTTACAAATAAAAATAGTTGTGGATCATTTTTCTAGCGCCATCGGAAGTGTATTTTTTTGCCTTTTTATGCCATTTTACTCGTAAAAGTTGATCGATTTTCAATTTAAAGGTAAATATTGAACTTGTAACAGCAGTTTTTATATAAAGTGTACCTAGTAGTGTCTAGAATTCCTTGGTTGGCGTTTGTACGTGGTTATCTTCAACCTGCACTTTTCACTTTTGTGATCGCTAAGGTTGATTTTGGATTAGTGGTCACGTGACTACTTTCACTTTACTGCAAGACCTTACAATGTAATAAAACTGTTTACATGTATGTTTTTTTTGGAAATTAAGACATTGGCATATACTTTTTACCAAGTTATAGGTGATAACAAGCGTGTTTTTTGGAGATACAAATTATGGCCCAAATTAATTGATTTTTCTTCAATGTGCCTTAACCTCGCTGCGCGGAAAATTGGAGATTTTTACACATGTTTGGTATCATATTAAAGCTTACAAGCTTTCAGATGAATCTAATTTCATTGTATTTGGCTGATTGATATTTATCCTAGATGGAATTTGGTTAGCCCTATACCTGCGTGAAAAAAAACTATAATTTTGAAAAATCCAAAATTTTGACCGAGAAAATAAAAAAAATCCATTTGAACTCTAAGAGTTAAGTCATTGCTTAGTCAGACATTGCTATAATGATGTTTTCTCTTGAAAAATGTATTATTTACACTAAAATATTCTCATTATTCAAAACATTTGGTAAATATTTTACGAAAAACCTGTTATTCCAATAAAACATGGATATGTCGAGAACTTATTATATATAAAGACCAAGACCAATGCAGTCTTTAAGTCTAATAATCCATTGGGATTTGCAATAGTGACTATCTAAACTGTTTTGGTATTCATTATAATTAATGATACATAAACTATTAATCATTTGACTAAATTTATTGAATGTTCTAAAGTATATTTTTTCAGGTCCGAGCTGTTTCTTCACCAGAATTTACCATATCTACAATAGACAATATGTACATTATACAAATTAAATATTTTGTATTTGTTCAATTAACTTCAGAGTACCTGCAGTTTCTCACAATGCATATAAAATCTAGTTTACATGCAATCTGAAAAAAAAGAGACTTTTTATTTTTGAGATTGGCTGCTGACAAAGTGGTTTTTCTGGATTAACTGTCATCAGGGATGCTCGATGTCAAAATAAACAAATAAAACTGAATAAAGGTCAAATCAATTTGCTGCAACCGTTCTACAAATAAATCATTACAATGATAATTAGTAAAATGTACCTGAAAAAAGTCCCTGGATAAAATTCTAAAAAAGAAGAAAAATAGGTAAAGAAACTAAAAGAAAACTAAAAGA